GCTAATGAAACTACCTTAATTAAAATATTTAAAAATAGTAAAACATTTCTTCTCACTATTTCTCCATGAATCTACTTACTTTATTATAAATCGCATAAAGCGAACAATTATTATTTAAATTAAATAACGTGATTAGTTGTGTCAATTTTTTAATTATAATTCTTTTACGTATCATTTATTATTCATAATCCCCTAACCAAAGACCAATGACTAGTATCCTACTTCTGAAATGCATAAAAGCATAATAAAAAACTTTCACTTTATCTGTATTTTTCTACAGGCCGTAATATTGAAATATTCTTAAGGCTCTTGAAATTTTGTAAATAAAGAAAACACTCCTTTAATTAGAAATAGATATTAATAGCAAATTAATTGAGTTATGAATATTAATTAAATAATTACCATAATAATGAAAATGTAAAATAATAAAGAAAGTATAATCATAACGTAACGTAATTATAACAAAGTAAAAATAAATTATCATAAAAAAAAAAAAAGGGTATAAAAATACCTTAGTTCAACGTCTATCCTACTACTAAACAATTTCGAAATAAACATAATAAAGCAACCAAAAAAAAATAATAAGATACTCTTTTCAAACAAAATGTATATAAAAAAAAAAAACTACAAAAAAAATAAGATTAAAATAAAATAAAAAATGATTTCCATCTTCTGTGCTATTTCATTCATTAAAACTTTATCGGGATCAAATAAAGTTTGTAGCAAATTTTCTGTCTATAGAATCAGAACAAATACATTTGTCAAATACAAATTCAAAGTTTTTCGATTTAGTGAAATGACTTTAGTCGAAGAATTAACACAATCTAACATCTCGTTAATAGTTGAGCAATTCACTTTTAATGATAAAGATCTAAATGTAATAAATTAAAAATTTAGTTTATATATAACATTCTCACAAAACAGTTAATTTAATTAATGAATAAACTATCCAAACTTCCCACAGTCAAGCCTTTCTATAGTTACCTCTTTGACTATTAATACTTTGTTCTCATGAAATATACCTAGCTAAAGGTTAACTCTCTCAAAAGCGTAACTATAAAGAGCAATAGGCAATTAAAAAATAAATATATAAATCTAAAATATGCTAATTTTTTTTTTTTCTTTCATTTTTTCTTTATTTTAATCTTAAATAATCTAAGGTTATAATTGAGCAAAATACTCCTTTCAACATTCAAATGATGAAAGACTTTCTGATTGCATTCAACCTCCCCATATCACCAGCATTTGGTATTTTCACAGCTACAGTACAAGATCCCAGTACCACAGATAGTGAAATGACCTACTTTCACCTCAAAAGAGATGTCTACGATGGTGTGATAGCATTCCAAGTTACTATGTCTGTTTTATATAAATATAACCCAAAAGGTCGACATGTGAATGTAGTGGACGCTACAAAGCGTCAGCCAAAAATCTTGGTAGCATAGAAGTTAGTAATATTAAAAAATCAGTGTGCATAGCTGCTGAGATTATTGAGTGGAGTTATCTCAGCCAGGTGTTCTCCAAATCTGGAGCTGATGTACCATTGATAAAAAACAGAAGAACCAGACATAAGAAATTAGAAAAATTAGCCAAAAAACTCAACCCAACCAACAAGGTAACAAGAAAAGGAAAACACCTCAACAGCAAAAATGCTCAAGAGGAAAGCTCCTCAAGAGCAATAAAACTAAAAAATGTAGCAAATAGTATTAATAGAGATAATAAAATAAATTAATCTAAATTTGGTAAAAAAAAATACCCAGGGTAACGCTTAAATTGTCAATAACATAAATTATCTTTACTAATTATGTAATATATATATTATTACTTACTTTTGCAATTATTTGATAATATATTATTACCTAATAAATAAAGTATCAATGGTAATAACCGAATCATTATCTCTTTAAATATTTACCCTAATAAAACAATTAATGATCATTTAAATATAATAAAAGGTTAAAACAATAAACCACATTTGCAAAAGTAAAAAATTTTTACTATGATACTTACATTGACAATTAAGTACAACTAAGTAAAAACCTATCAGTATTGCAAAACTCACGTAGTTTTTCTTGGTGTCATCTAATTTGTTACCCTTATACTAACCAAAACGTTAAATAATCTAGAATATGAAACTGCAAATACCAATACTCACCTGGGACCCAAAAATACGAAGACCAATACCAATTTAGAACCTGAAAATATGGAAGCTTATACCAAACCGGAGCCCAAAA